TTTATTAAAAAGACGCATATTTCTACTGGAGAGCATGTATGTTTCTCACTTGCCATATCTTACGAAACGCGTATTGGGTTTCCAATCGGAAGACCGCGCTTCGACGTAAGACGTAAAACCCTTATTGCTACAAAATAAAAATACGAAACAGGTCAAGAGGTTGATCAGCGTGGCATCACAGTGTCACAATACCCTCACACAGCGAGAGAAAACTGGTAAAAAATAACTACGCTAAAATAATTACGAACACGAATCTTTGTACGCACAGTTGAAAGCCTTAAGGCGGAACTTCCTCCAGACGCCTCGCACATCCCCTGACACGCCTCATAAAAATACACGTTTGTCTCTGCGTCAAGAGGCACACTAACTTCGTCGTGTTTTTGGTGATGCTGACTAGTCCCGTTCACACAACACGCGTAGGTGCACGTCACAACTTTGTATTAAACTTCCGCGCGTTGCCGTTGCTCTGGGCGATGCTGGCGGCGCCGCTGCCGGACGGCCGTGATAACGGCGATGACACCCCATCGGCGCCCTCCTCTTCCTCCTCCTCCACTTCCTCTATGACGTCCGTCGCCATGCCGGTTGAGTTCATGCGAGCCATCTGCGGAAACGTCAAACACGGCGGCGTTTGCATACGAGCTGCTTGTGGAGCATTTAGCGATCGGGAGGAGAGGTGAGCGAGCATCACTTGAAGGGCGGCGTGGCGTGGCCGGGGAGGCACTGCGGTCGCAAAGTGGACAAGCGGAAGCGGAAATGGTGGGAGGAGCAAGTGGGAAGTGGGGCTGTGGCGCCGCGTGGTGGAACAGCACCATGCGTGAGATGAAGCGGAAGCGTGTGAGCGAGAGTAGCTGTAGCGGAGGCGATACATGGCGAAGTGGGCAAGCGGAAGCGGAAGTGTAGGAAGAGCAAGTGTGGCCTCGGCGACGAGTGGTGGAACCGGTGGAACCGCACACAGGGTGAAGTGAAGCGGAAGCGTGTGAGCGAGAGTGGCTGAAGCGGAGGCGCCGTAGGCGGTGCAAGGGCGAAGTGGTGTGTACTGCGCCCGCGCAAGTGTACACGCGGAAGCGGAAGGGGCACAACGACAGGTGAACTTACCTTGGAGCGGAGGTCCGCTTGCAGAGCGTCCTCCTCGCCATCGCTGCCGCTGTCGGAGCCGCTCCCCTCCGCCGGCTCGTCGTCCTGCGTCATGCGGTCCATGAGCACGGCCTCCTCGTAGGATGGCGGGTGGTAGTGGGGGTCTTCCTGGGACCCGGAATGCTGTCGAAAGCAGAGAAAGACATTAATGTTGGAAACTTCTCAGGGTGGACGCACGGCGGATAGGGTGGCCCACGGCAAAAAAATTATCAGACCGGCGGTTAGTTCATAAAGATCGAGATGACCCATGCTCTGGGCATTCCAAAACCGCCCCGTTCGTGCCGATCGTACCCCGGGAACCACTCGCTCAACGTCTTTGCATTTTAACATGGGTTTCTTATGGGCTTTTGGGTGTAAAATAGAAAAGCGACCCTGTAGAATCAGAAAGTCACCAAAGAGCAATATAATTATGAAATTCGTAATCTACGTTAAAAACTGAATCTGGCAATGTAACGTTCGTTACTGTAGCACCTGGGACCCAGATTTGCCAAGCTTTGAATATTCCCTCATTTTTCAAAATATGGAGATTTATGAGAGGTTGCAAATCTGGGTCCCAGGTGCTACAGTAACGAACGTTACATTGCCAGATTCAGTTTTTAACGTAGATTACGAATTTCATAATTATATTGCTCTTTGGTGACTTTCTGACTCTACAGGGTCGCTTTTCTATTTTACACCCAAAAGCCCATAAGAAACCCATGTTAAAATGCAAAGACGTTGAGCGAGTGGTTCCCGG